ACTGAACGCGAAAGAAGAGGAAAAAAAATGCAATCTCTATCCACCTTAATTATTGTTTCAATGTAATGGTACCCGTAATTAAAAGATTTTTTCAAAAATTTATAATCTTGTGTAATATGCGTGAACAAATTTGTAATCTCTACTGAAGATACATGCAGATCTAAAAGAATAGCACCACTGACCCATTTGACAAACACAATGAAAAAATAGCTAACAGTGACCAATGTTCCCTCTAAGGTTTGTTGGTTCGTTTTTTTTGTGTGTGCAAAATTTTACAGCCCACAAACACAAACTTATGTGGAAATTAGCTGCCCAGATACTCAAAACTGCTGCGCGGTGTCTGTGAGATAGCTGCACGGCCGCGTGACCCCTTTGACAAACAAAATGAGAGAAAGCTACCAGTGATCTCCTTTACAAACACACAAAAAAAAGAATAGCTACCAGTGACCCCCTTGACAAACACAATGAAAGAATAGCACCAGTGGCCCCCTTAAAAAAACACAATGAAAGAATAGCTACTAGTGGCCTCCTTGAAAAACACAATAAAAGAATAGCACCAGTGACCCCTTGACAAACACAATGAAAGAATAGCTACCAGTGAATCCTTGACAAACACAATGGAAAAAATAGCTACCAGTGACCCCCTTGACAATCACAACAAAAGAATAGCACCAGTGACCCCTTGACAAACACCATGAAAGAATAGCACCAGTGACCCCCTTGACAAACACAATGAAAGAATAGCACCAGTGACCCCCTTGACAAACCCAGTGAAAGAATAGCTACCAGCGAATCCTTGACAAACACAATGAAATAATTACACCAGTGGCCCCTTTGACAAACACAATAAAAGAATAGCACCAGTGCCCCCCTTGACAAACACAATGAAATAATAGCTACCAGTGACCCCCTGACAAACACAATAAAAGAATAGCACCAGTGACCCCCTTGACAAACACAATGAAAGAATAACTACCAGTGACCCCCTCGACAAACACAATGAAGGAATAGCACCAGTGACCCCCTCGACAAACACAATGAAGGAATAGCACCAGTGACATCCTTGACAAACACATTGAAAGAATAGCTACCAGTGACCCTTTAGGCAAACAAAATGAAAGAATAGCTATCAGTGACCCTTTGACGAACACAATGTAATATAGAAACTAATGTATTATTGATCTCCGAGACCACTGTCTCGTTGCTGACAGATGTCACCATTTTGCGTGTGATTTGAGCTTCCCGTAATTTGGACCGTAAAACAGTTGTCACCCTCCCACGATCCTTGTCGCCAATGTTAAACCGGAAATATTAGAAGTCTGCTGAACTCGGGTAAAAATGTTTCTTTCTTTCTGAGGCGACTTTTGTGTTAATTACTAAAGAGCCACGGGTATGGTGTAGGATTGTCGGTAGTCCTGTTGTTTAAAGACCGGCAGCTGGGGTGTAAACCGGTATAGGCCCTATATTATAGAAAATGAGAATTTAACTCTTTGTAGCACTTGGACCCACCGGGTATTTTCTCAAAATACCCGGACGCGTTGTAAAAAAAACACAAAAACTGCATATGGTTAAGCCCTGGTATCTGTATACCAATCCAGTGCACTGTTGACCATACCTTCACGATACAGATGATGATTGAGTACGTTTATAGCGCTTGTGTCTACGCTATTTTAATCATGCTCATAGCGCTCTGATGTCCTAAAGTCTATTTAAAGATAAAAGTCTTTAAATGTTTCTTAAATGACCTTTTATCAATGTTAAATTTCCCTCAAAGATCGAAGCAAACTCTTCCACAATTTAGGCGCAAAAGCTTCAAAAAGAGCTTTGACTTCTTTCTGTGTCCATCCACACTGGGAACTGCCAGTAAGGACTGTGTTTGAAGAGCGCAGGTTCTGTACGGATACATGTTTAGAAATCAGTTTTTTAAAGATATTATACAGGTGCAGAGCATTCTGAACAACTATACACGGATGTAGTGAAGCGTAATTTGAATAACGTGAGTGTCTCCTGCTTTGTGAAATCGAGTCCAGGTTCTAGCATGACTCCAACATGTGTTGGCGAACATGTAGGCCAAGCTTCTATAATCTATTAATAAAACAGATTAACAAAACACCCATTGTCATTGTAATGCTTAGTTAACACGATCAATTTTTGTCCACTTTGTGTCAAATATCTTTTTTTGAACCACAATTTTGTTTTACTAAATAAAGTGCGTACTAAATAAAGTGTGATTCTTACAGACAGAGCAGTCTTATCTGATGGGTACAGACAGAGCAGTCTTATCTGATGGGTACAGACAGAGCAGTTTTATCTGATGGGTACAGACAGAGCAGTCTTATCTGATGGGTACAGACAGAGCAGTCTTATCTGATGGGTACAGACAGAGCAGTCTTATCTGATGGGTACAGACAGAGCAGTCTTATCTGATGGGTACAGACAGAGCAGTCTTATCTGATGCGTACAGACAGAGCAGTCTTATCTGATGGGTACAGACAGAGCAGTCTTATATGATGGGTACAGACAGAGCAGTCTTATATGATGGGTACAGACAGAGCAGTCTTATCTGATGGGTACAGACAGAGCAGTCTTATCTGATGGGTACAGACAGAGCAGTCTTATCTGATGTGTACAGACAGAGCAGTCTTATATGATGGGTACATACAGAGCAGTCTTATCTGATGAGCCATGGTATCAGCAAGGCACACCTTTCCATGCTTCTCCCCAATGAGACAAAAGGCGATTGCGCTATTCAAAGGGGTTTCCATATTATCATACTATAAGATATGACCCGGTGTTACCGGCTTAAAAAAGTGATCATGTATTGCTCGACTTTCTATAGCTGTTATTGCGAAGTCTCAAAAATCGACTAATTTTTACGTACGTAACTGTATCAGGTTTTGATGTATGGTATCCTAAATTAATTTGTTTAATGGAGTGTTTATTTAGGAACCAACAGTACATTAGAATTTTAGAAAAGTATCCTTGTTTATATGTTTTAATTTTTAAAACAATTGGACTTTGAAAAATGTGTATCTTTTATAACGATGTGGCTATTCGCACCCGGGTATCAGAAGTGAGAGGTTGGAATTAAAAAATAACTAAAATACTATTGTTGAGTTTGTAAGATAAAATGAGATATCAAATGAAAGATACTTGAGGGGACTATATGTTTTTAAACTTACTTCTTCAGTTAGACTAAAATAAACTACCACAAATGACACCCGAATGGGATTTAGTCTAAAGTGACCGGGTCCAAAATATCTGCTATGCGTACCCGGGTAGAGAGCAGTCTTATCTGATGGGTCGAGAGCAGTCTTATCATTTCCCAACATGCAAAGTAATCATGGACTCGGGCACACCATTCAGTAGTAGGTGTACTGATGCCATTGCAAAGCTGCAGGAAGAGTTTGATCACAGTTTTGCAGACGTAAAAACACACAGAGCCACTTTAATAATAATAAAAAAAAAAATTTGCCGACCCTTTCTCCTTCAATGTGGAAGATGCGCTTCAAATGGAGCTGATTGATCTTCAGTGCAATTCTAAACTCAAGGCTAAGATCAGGGAGGTAAATGGAAAAAAAACCAGACAGGCTTGGACAATTTATGAGAGCATTGTCCTCCACCTTCCCTGAGATTTCCAGGTTGTTCAAGCGGATCATTGTGCCTTTTTGGGAGTCTCTAACAAGTCAAAGTTCAGGGAAAAACTTACTGATGTGCATCTTCAGGCTATACTGAGGGTCCCAGTTGCTTACTCACTCAAGTTAAATGTTGCTCAGCTGTGTAAAAATAAGCCCTGTCAGGTGCCTGGCAACAAGGAGTAGACTAGGAGGAAGTAAGTGAAGCCTTGAGAACCCTCAATGTTTTTATTTGTTATTAACAAAGGTTGAGCAGATTGTAACAGTTGTACTTAATTTAATTTGTAATCACTTTTTTGTGTGGAACACTTGATGCGGCCCAGTCACAATCAGACTCTACCTCCTGCGGCTCCCGGATGATTTGAGTTTGAGACCCCTGTATATATTATTTTCATGAAAAAATTACCTGCTCTTTTCTATGAAATGTGCTTTTCTTTTTTAAAAAGTGCACACAGTCATCCCTCCCCTTGAAGTGTGTTTTCTGAAGAAGGTTACATGCAATATTTCATTAGTTATAAAAACAATCTCTATATTACTATCTTGCAGATAACATACCACTTGTCGGCAGATAAAATACCCTGGCTTAAAGATCATTGTACATCTTGTTTATATTCGTTTGACTGCTACTGAAAGACCTCAACAGGTTGGGGTGGGGAAAGCGAGTTAGTGCTTGAGAGGCCTCCTAAATAAATGACGTCACGCAACTTGGGGGGGGGGGGGGGGGGTAAAACCATATTTGTGAAAAGGTGGGAAGTTGCCCTTAAAAAAAAATTGGGGGGGGGGGGGGGGGGGAAAANGAGGTTTATTGCTGGAGTACACGGAAGAATTACTTTTTTTTTTTAAATATTAAAATTTTGAAAACTCTTTTGTTAGAGCAGCAAAACAGCTCCGCCCCTCCCCCATGCACCCCCAATGGATCCGTCAATGTTATTACAGACAGATTCCCGCACGAGCGCATGCAGGATTTGTGTGCGTGTGTGGTGTAAAAAGAAAGTGTGTGTGGGGGGGGGGATGGCAGTATGTCAGTCACGGTCTGGATCCTTTAGTTGGATACAACTAATGCCATTAAAAACTAGAGTTCTCACATAATTAAATTGTCTTAATTTTCTCGGACTAAAGTCCGAATTCGCCCTAAACTTCTCTGCTACTTTGATTTGTTTTGAGTTAGTCCTTTTCTCCACACGCGCCACTAATTTAGTGATATCAGACTGTGACACCTGCCTCCCCCCCCCCCTTTTGGCATTATAAATGTGCCCGCCCATGGCATCCCGCACCCCATACAACTAACTGCAAAATAAATAATGAAACGCTTACAACAAAACCTGTTAGCCGTCAATATGACATCACATCCACGTGATCATATTTAAGGAAATGACATGTTGGTGGATGTCTCCCTTCAAAGCCCCGTCTGTGTCACCACACGGTGTGTGTAGCCAGGGTTCAAAGATAAGCGTGTTGGTTCGTGAGATTGAGATAATTGAATGACTTGGGCTCGTTTGCCCAGTGGTGCACAGTAACCTGTCCGTACTCAGCTCGGACGCTGTCACTTAGGATGAGATATCTTTGTGGGACCCTTTGATTGTGTTCTTGATTAGGTTAAAATAAGTGTTAGATGCTGTGTATATAACACTATTCACTTCGGTAAGTGGGCAATTTTATTATTAACTTTCTATGCAGTTTCACTATTATTAGTATTAGATTACACATTATAAGTAAACATATGTTATATATATTAGTGATGAGATGTTATAAAAAAGTTTTTTAAACGTTTTCTTTTAGGTTTCATTTAAGCCCCTCCCCCCCCCCCCACCTCCCGTGTCCTGTTGTCAAATGTGTCTATTCGACGATTACGCCAGTCAGTGTGTTTACACGTCGCGCGTGGTTAGAGACTTGGTGTGTCACCAAATCGGGTCACTACCTGTCATGTGACTTGATGTGTTCTGAATCGTGAATGGAAAAAAAAAAAAAAACAAAACAGGTCAAAGCTTATTTGGACACAGTACTGCAGTACACGTGACACACACACACACACACACCACCACTGACCAGTGGCGTAACAAAGATTGTGGAGTCGGAGTTGTTTGTGGCTAGTTTGAGTCGGATACATTATACGAGTCAGGCTACTGGTGCCTGGATTTAAAATAAGACTTTTTTTTTAGTGCTATTCAGCTAATAGGCTAATATCAGTCGCCAGGGTTCGACCAGTCATTGTTGTTAATCAACAGCTGATGTAACATTTCGTATTCCACTAGCCTACAAACTCATAACGTTGAAACCGGCCCCTGTACTGTAGCTTTGAGGGGGCCCCCATAGAATTGAGGGGGGGGGTCCCCATAGAATTGAGGGGGTCCCCATAGAATGGAGGGGGTCCCCATAGATTGGAGGGGTCCCCATAGAATGGAGGGGGTCCTCATAGATTGGAGGGGGGTCCCCATAGAATGGAGGGGGTCCCCATAGAATTGAGGGGGTCCACATAGAATTGAGGGGGTCCCGAATAGAGCTGCGGCGGTCCCAACATCAATGCCGCGGCCCACACAACTTTTTAGGAGTTGAAAGAGCGTTTAAGTACTTTAAGGAACAATTCAACATTCATTGCCTAAATTTAAATATACGTTAAGTGGTACTCCGATGTAAGTACAAAAGCATAAAGGAATCAGTGGCGTAGCAAGAGGGTGCTAAGGGGGTGGGGCGGACCGCTGCGGGCGGCACTTTTTTTTATATTGATGGGGCAATGTTCAGAGGATTTTTTTTTCCGTGGAAGGGGGCAGCAAAAAGCTTGGCCCGAACCCTGTTACCGGAAATTTGTTTGAAATAAATTTCGTCGATGGAAATTTGTTTCCTAACTTGTACACAGTTTGTAGATTATAAAAGGACACATAATAGTCTAATCGGACGGTGGCGAACGAAGAAAGGGGGTGGGTGGGTTGCAGAAGCGGAAGGTCCGCCCCCCCGGGGTAGCCTTAACTGGAGGGTGGCATTTTCGACAACCGCTGAGTTTTTCGTGACAGTGGGGTGGGGGGGGGGGGCAAAAAAAAAAATAAGAAAAAGGTTATGCCAAACTTGAATTAATAAACAAGACAAACGATTTTGAAGTTTCGGCTTAGAGGCTTCCTCCGAAAAAAAAGAAAAAAAGAAGTAGAATAAAAAAGAAAAATAAAAACAAGGTTATGCCAAAATTGAATTTATAAAAAAGAAAAACGATTTTGAAGTTTCGGCTTAGAGGCTTCCTCAGAAAAAAAAGACAAAAAGAAGTAGAACAAGTGTCAGATCGCAGTAAAAAAAAAAAAAACAACAACTTTAGATCGTTCCTTTTGTTGCCGGAAGTAGGATTACAGGAAATAAAAGAATATAAATATTGATACTGTGAAAAATAAGAATAAATAGGTAGAGAATCTTAACGGGCCAAAATATTTAGGGATACAAAAAATCTAAGGAATAAGGAAACCAAAAAATACAGGGTAATTGAGAAACATTAGTCAGAGAGTATTTGATTCATATATGGTAACGAAACACTGAACACATTTGGTTTCCATTTTCACTCGGGTGTTTGGGGGGGGGGGCGAGCGGGGCGGAGAATGACATATATTCTAGCTATGTCAAAGATCTGGGATATAAAACAAAAAAATTGTTTCAGAATGTGAAACGAGGGAGGGGGGGATGTAAGGCTAACACTATATTTTTTTTAAAAAGTTCACCAATGTTATGTTTTTCATACATATTGCTACACGAACATCTTTCACTTATTTTGGTTAGTTTTATCACACAATTGTGAATCTTAAGGCCTCCATGGCAGTAAAATTGAATTCGGATTTGTTGTAAGTAGCATCAAGACCNCTTAGACATCAAGTGCCATTGTCAAGTTCCTTAGACATCAAGTGCCATTGTCAAGTTCCTTAGACATCAAGTGCCATTGTCAAGTTCCTTAGACATCAAGTGCCATTGTCAAGTTCCTTAGACATCAAGTGCCATTGTCAAGTTCCTTAGACATCAAGTGCCATTGTCAAGTTCCTTAGACATCAAGTGCCATTGTCAAGTTCCTTAGACATCAAGTGCCATTGTCAAGTTCCTTAGACATCAAGTGCCATTGTCAAGTTCCTTAGACATCAAGTGCCATTGTCAAGTTCCTTAGACATCAAGTGCCATTGTCAAGTTCCTTAGACATCAAGTGCCATTGTCAAGTTCCTTAGACATCAAGTGCCATTGTCAAGTTCCTTAGACATCAAGTGCCATTGTCAAGTTCCTTAGACATCAAGTGCCATTGTCAAGTTCCTTAGACATCAAGTGCCATTGTCAAGTTCCTTAGACATCAAGTGCCATTGTCAAGTTCCTTAGACATCAAGTGCCATTGTCAAGTTCCTTAGACATCAAGTGCCATTGTCAAGTTCCTTAGACATCAAGTGCCATTGTCAAGTTCCTTAGACATCAAGTGCCATTGTCAAGTTCCTTAGACATCAAGTGCCATTGTCAAGTTCCTTAGACATCAAGTGCCATTGTCAAGTTCCTTAGACATCAAGTGCCATTGTCAAGTTCCTTAGACATCAAGTGCCATTGTCAAGTTCCTTAGACATCAAGTGCCATTGTCAAGTTCCTTAGACATCAAGTGCCATTGTCAAGTTCCTTAGACATCAAGTGCCATTGTCAAGTTCCTTAGACATCAAGTGCCATTGTCAAGTTCCTTAGACATCAAGTGCCATTGTCAAGTTCCTTAGACATCAAGTGCCATTGTCAAGTTCCTTAGACATCAAGTGCCATTGTCAAGTTCCTTAGACATCAAGTGCCATTGTCAAGTTCCTTAGACATCAAGTGCCATTGTCAAGTTCCTTAGACATCAAGTGCCATTGTCAAGTTCCTTAGACATCAAGTGCCATTGTCAAGTTCCTTAGACATCAAGTGCCATTGTCAAGTTCCTTAGACATCAAGTGCCATTGTCAAGTTCCTTAGACATCAAGTGCCATTGTCAAGTTCCTTAGACATCAAGTGCCATTGTCAAGTTCCTTAGACATCAAGTGCCATTGTCAAGTTCCTTAGACATCAAGTGCCATTGTCAAGTTCCTTAGACATCAAGTGCCATTGTCAAGTTCCTTAGACATCAAGTGCCATTGTCAAGTTCCTTAGACATCAAGTGCCATTGTCAAGTTCCTTAGACATCAAGTGCCATTGTCAAGTTCCTTAGACATCAAGTGCCATTGTCAAGTTCCTTAGACATCAAGTGCCATTGTCAAGTTCCTTAGACATCAAGTGCCATTGTCAAGTTCCTTAGACATCAAGTGCCATTGTCAAGTTCCTTAGACATCAAGTGCCATTGTCAAGTTCCTTAGACATCAAGTGCCATTGTCAAGTTCCTTAGACATCAAGTGCCATTGTCAAGTTCCTTAGACATCAAGTGCCATTGTCAAGTTCCTTAGACATCAAGTGCCATTGTCAAGTTCCTTAGACATCAAGTGCCATTGTCAAGTTCCTTAGACATCAAGTGCCATTGTCAAGTTCCTTAGACATCAAGTGCCATTGTCAAGTTCCTTAGACATCAAGTGCCATTGTCAAGTTCCTTAGACATCAAGTGCCATTGTCAAGTTCCTTAGACATCAAGTGCCATTGTCAAGTTCCTTAGACATCAAGTGCCATTGTCAAGTTCCTTAGACATCAAGTGCCATTGTCAAGTTCCTTAGACATCAAGTGCCATTGTCTAGTTCCTTAGACATCAAGTGACATTGTCAAGTTCCTTAGACATCAAGTGCCATTGTCACAAGCTGAAACAATGAAATATCTAATAAATTCATTACTTGTCAGATTTGTAATTTTTGTTTAACATTTCGATTTATACAATTACCCCTTAACGTTGCATATGTGAGCTAAGTCCCTCGACCAGGGACGGTTAGTGACCCACATCTTCTACCCTCCACCCCTCTTAGCTGTGACATGTTTTCCACTGAAACCGATTTACTAACTCTATAATCTCTCTCCCATCTCCCCTTATTATGTCTCACAGGAAGCACGTGTAAGATAAGCTTGAAATCCAGTGATGGACATTATAGATATAGATATCATGGAGTCTCAAGTCGATGCCCTGGGACCCCATGCGACCTTCAGTTACCTTTATATGTGCCAGGTTCAAGTAGGCTCCACCTAAGGGTGACCAAATCATCAACTGAAAAAAAACGGGACACACTCAAGGAGGGTTTGGGGGGGGGATTACCCTCCAGCTAAAGAGGGGTCCGGGGGCCTCCGCTGGAAACTGTTTATTGAAATATGCTCTTTTGAACTATTCGAGAACTAGACATCTTATTATATTTAACTTCACTTTTGTAATTTAATTGAAACTCTGAGACATATCAGAAACGAAAACAATAATTTTGCAGTGAATACTCATTTATTTATACATATTTTACAACATAACACAAGACAACAAATTGAATTTCTCTAGTCTAGGGTTTAAATTGAGGATATTTGGCTGCCGTCCCAGCCATTGTTGAGCCCTCCTTCTTATCTAATGTCAAGTTGTCAAAACCAGAACAGAAAATGTGTTTGGTTTTAGAAACGGGACATTTAGGCGTCTCCGAGAGACTTTTTCGGGACACCGGGTACGATCGTGAAAAAAACCGGGACGATCCCGTTTTTTTACGGGACGTTTGGTCGCCCTACTCCACCTTCTTTCGTCGCATTATGAATACTTCATAATGACGGAGGTTACGCGTGTTTCTTACAAATTTCTTTATTCATGCGACACATTGTCCGTCTTAAGTTTAAGACCCTAGCATTAATTAAGAATTATTTATTAATTTTAGGAATTTATGAAACAGGTTTAATTTTTTTTTTTTTTTTTTTAATTTTTTTTTTTTTTTTTTTTTTAAAAATTAAAAAAATTTGTTTAAAATTAATAAATCATTAGAAATACCAAAACTCCAAAATATGTATATATATATATATATAAAAATTTTTTTTAAAAAAGACTATTCTATGAANTTTAATTTTGTCTTTTTTTTTTTTTTTTTTTTTTTTTATTTTTTTTTATCTTTTTTATTTTTTTTTTTTTTTTTTTATTTTTTTTTTTTTTTTTTTTTTACAAAATTCAAAAATAGTTGGCGACACTACCCGACAAAAGTGAAACCTTTTTTGAACCCCGTTTGTGAGACGACCTTGACCAAGGTTGATAACGTCCGAATCCAAGAAGTAGTGACCCCTCGAGTGTTTGGCGGGGTAACAAGATAGGGTTTCGCATTTCCCCGAGTTTTTTGGCATTTCCCGGGAAAAAGGGAATAGAGTATTTTTCGTCCCGGGATGACTGGATTTTCCAAAGGATTTCTGTGAGACAATAGACTAAGAGAGGGATTTCTGTGAGGTCGCCGGCTGAAACAATAGACTAAGAGAAGGGATTTATGTGAGGTCGCCGGCTGAAACAATAGACTAAGAGAAGGGATTTCTGTAAGGTCGCAGGCTGAAACAATAGAATAAGAGATGGGATTTATGTGAGGTCGCCGGCTGAAACAATAGACTAAGAGACGGGATTTCTGTGAGGTCGCCGCCTGAAACAATAGACTAAGAGACGGGATTTCTGTGAGGTCGCCGGCTGAAACAATAGACTAAGAGACGTGATTTCTGTGAGGTCGCCGGCTGAAACAATAGACTAAGAGAAGGGATTTCTGTGAGGTCACCAGCTGAAACAATACACTGAAGGGTAGTAATTTTTAAATAGTTTTTTTTTAATATATATATTTTTTTACTTTGTGTTTTAAAGTTTGAGTTACAATTTAAATCATGACATGATCATTAAATATGTCACCAATTACATGACATTAAATACTTCACCAATTACATGACATTAAATATGTCACCAATTACATGCTATTTAAAATTAAGTTTCAAGTTTTCATTGCAAAGAATCACAACCATGTTTGAAAGCTTTCTTTTGAATATATCGGGGCAAGGGTAATTTTGACTCTATATATGAATGTGGTCGTGACTTGACAAACGCTTGCGAACCTGTGTACTAAAGATACTGAACTTAGTGATTCATTGAAGTCTGTGACAATCTCTGACTCGCTGGAATTATTTATTTAAAAAAAAAAAACACACATACTCAAGAAAATTGTTTTCTGAAAGTGTGTACCCGTGATTTCCCGGGATGGAACAGTTTCCCGGGATGGAACAGTTTCCCGGGATGGAACAGTTTCCCGGGATGGAACAGTTTCCCGGGATGGAACAGTTTCCCGGGAGGGAACAGTTTCCCGGGATGGAACAGTCTTCTTCTATATCTTAAGGGCCCACGATCAATTTATTGATCATTTTGGCTCCTATGCATGTAGATGGGATTTGCAATGTTTCTGTTACTGGTGGTGATGAGGAAATTATGCACTAGGGGTTTGAAGGCTTGAGGCAATAGACACAAATGTGTCTAGTGTTGTCGCCTCAACTGTTCCTTTTGAAAGATGGTTCCAGTCCCTGATTGTCTTGGGCAGGAATGAGCAGCTCCTATACTGGCTTCTTGCTGGTATGAGCCTGAATTGCCTGTCATGGCCTCGTCGCTGTCTATGGGGGAGAGGGACGAGTTTCCGTTTAATACTGGAACAGTGGACCAGCCCATTATTTATCTTGTACATCATGGAGAGCCTGGATTGTCGTCGTCGTTTCTCCAATGGTGACCAGCCTAGTGTTTCTAGCATGCTGCCAACACTAGAGGTATTCCTGTAGCGATTTAGGACAAAGCGTGCTGCTCGTCGCTGGACCGCCTCCAACCTGTCAATGCTCTTCTGGGTAAATGGGTCCCAGACTGAAGATGCATAATCTAAAATCGGACGGATAAAGGCTTTATATGCTCTTTCTTACACACAGGAGTTGCCAATCTTTAGATTTCGCCTTAAGAACCCCAAGGCTTGGTTTGCTTGGTTACATACATTGTTAATATGCTCGTCCCAGCGGACCTCTCTTTGAATAGTAACACCTAGGTACTTTACGGAGGAAACTTGCTCAAGAATATGGCCGTGCAGTTTGTATTGGTAGTGTAGAGGAGTACAGTTTCCCGGGATGGAACAGTTTCCCGGGATGGAACAGTTTCCCGGGATTGAACAGTTCGTCAGGATTAACCATACACACACCCACTGCTAGAAAAGGAAAGTGGCAATGTCAATGTGGAATCTGAAGTGGGTGAAGACCATTGCTCTGTTTAGCGCGTTACCGTGATTTTGCTTAAGCGCAAAATCGAAACTTGTCTGAGTCCCTTTTCTTCAATTTCAAAGCATCAAAAGCATACTCCAAATAAGGGTAGCAAAGAAAAGAAATACATAAAAAATGAAGAAGAATTGCTTTTAAAATGAAAGAAATTGGCAAGCATCAACGTATTTTGTCCACCTGGCTCACATGCCTGCAAATGATAAAGGTGTTTAATGTGAATAGTATACATGCCGTAGAGAACAAGGCTCAGAAATCTCCAAAACGGTCGCAGCGGATGCTGAAAGGTGACTCTAGCCGAAGCCGTTGAAAAGATGAGTCAAATGACGAAGAGGTCTTTTATGCGATGATGTTACTTCAAAGGAGATACCAACTCCGAGTCATTTTGACCGACTTACAATCGCTAGAAGGTGGAAGTGCTAGTTAACAAAAAAATATAGACGGAGACTGTCAACACTATCTACAGCAGGGGTCTCAAACTCAAATCATCCAGGGGGGGGGGGCCGCAGGAGGTAGAGTCTTGAGTGAGACTGGGCCGCATCAAGCGTTACACAAAAAATTGATTACAAATTCAATAAGTACAACTGTTACAAACTGCTCAACCTTTATCAATAACAAACAAACAAAAATATTAAGTGTTCTCGAAGAAGCATGGAAGCAACTGAGACCCTCAGTATAGTTTGAAGATGCTCATCGGCAAGTTTCGTCCTAAACTTTGACTTGTTAAAGTCCATAGTGGAAAAGAGCTTTTCACACAAGATATGTTCTCCCAAAAAAGGGCACACGATCCGCTTAAACAACCTGGAAATCTCAGGGAAGGTGGAGGGCAATGCTTTCGTAAATTATCCATGCTGGTCGGTTTTAAACTTAGAATTGCATTGAAGCGCAGGGGATGGTTCGCCCATGGCGGCACGTTTTCTCTTTACATATGGGGGGGGGGGGGGGCAATTTCGGCCAAGTGGTGAGAAGTGTGGTTTTATAATCATAAGTTGATAGTAAAGTGGTGAGAAGTGTGATTTTATAATCATAAGTTGATAGTAAAGTGGTGAGATGTGTGGTTTTATAATCATAAGTTGATAGTAAAGTGGTGAGATGTGTGGTTTTATAATCATAAGTTGATAGTAAAGTGGTGAGATGTGTGGTTTTATAATCATAAGTTGATAGCAAGCGGTGAGGAATGTGTTTTATATTCATAAGTTATTAGCAAGTGGTGATAAAATTGATTTATGCAATCTTCGGTTTAGTCCACTTGTCATTGGTAATTACTAAGCATTCTTTCGATATGAGTTATCTCACAAGACGACTCAGGATGAAACGAACTCGAAAATCAATGATTCTCATATTGTTAGTCATATACTCAAAATCAATGATTCTCATATTAGTCATTTACTGAAAGTCACGCTAAAGTTCCTGTTAGCCTTTGCTCTATACATCAGTGAAACTTTCTTTTTGAGCTCTTAGCTAAATGTGCGTGTGCTAGCGATAGTGTGCGTGTGTTTGTATCTATGTGTGTCTTGATGAGCGCTAGATTTAATTGTATTTAGATGCTGTTTGTGTATTTCATGTATGTGTGCTCACGCATGCGTATGTACCTCTGTCTATGTTTTTCTATGTGTGTGTTGCTGAACTGTGAATTAAATGATTGCGTTTAATCTCATCCGCGCAGATCATGGCCATGAACAGATTTGTGCATAGGCTGATGCGAAAGAAGGTGCTTTCCGACAGCGACATCGAGGAGTCCAACCTAGACAGATGCCTGACAACCGTTGACCTGGTTGGCCTAGGTAATGTAAAAACAAATGTAAATAGGGCACACCTGATACAGTGCAGCACTCGGGGGGGGGGGGGATTGAATACGTCCCTAATTTTTCCTGTATCTTAATCACATGTCGTGCTTTGAATTGCCTGGCAACCGTTGACCTGGTTGGCCTAGGTAATGTAAAAACAAATGTAAATAGGTCACCCCTAGTACAGTGCAGCTCTCGGGGGGGGGGGATTGAATACGTCACTAATTTTTCCTGTATCTTAATCACATGTCGTGCTTTGAAATGAGAACACCCACCACAGTGAGTGGGCGTTTATGGCATGTGATCGCTGGGGCAGAGGTCAAGTTGTTGGATCACAGCTGGTGTCTCTGCGTGGCTGCATCTCTGCATCTTTGTGTTTCCGCCTCTGTGTCTCTGAGTCTCTGCATGTCCGTGTCTCTGCGTCTGTTTCTTCGCCGCATCTCTGTGTCAATGCATCTGTATCTCTGCGTCTGTTTCTCCGCTTCATCTCTGTGTCACTGCATCTGTATCTCTGCGTCTGTTTATCTGCATCTTTGCTTCTGTGTCTCTGCGTCGCTGCATCTCTGTGTCACTGCATATGTGTCTCTGCATCTGTGTCTCTGCATCTGTGTCTCTGCATCTGTGTGTTTCTGCATCTGTCTATCTGCGCCTGTGTCTCAGCATCTGTGTCTCAGCATCTCGTTGTTTCAGCATCTATGTGTCTCAGTGTAGTAATTACAACGAGGTGGGCCCAGTATGCAAACTATCCAAGAGAGGAGCAAAATCAATGTTTTTGAGGACACCCATATTATTAGGATCTACAACTAAAGCATGCAAAAAGACAAAGTTCCAAAAGAAAAAAGTTGCTTTACAAAGTGAAAAGACACAATATCATTCACATGATTTTCCCTGTTTTATAATTTGTAAACACGCTGGTTAATGCATTTCTTAGAACATTGAAATAATGCATGAAGAAATATTTTAGCAAATTGAAATATATTAAGCATTTTAAAATGTTTCAGCACATTGAAATATTTAGCATTTTAAAATGTTTCAGCACATTGAAATATTTAGCATTTTTGACATATTTTAACACCCTAAAATATTTAGCATTTTGACATATTTTATCGCACTGAAATATTTTAGCACCTTGAAATATTTTGAAATATTTTAAGCATGTTGAAATACATTAGCCCATTGAAATATTTCAGCACAGTAAAATATTTTAACCTGTAGAAGGTTAAAAAAAATTACAACTAAAATAACTAACTAGATACAAGTCCCTATAGTGGCATTTATAATGACCACTGTGAAATCTGCTTAACACAAATTTTGAGTTTAATATGGTTGCTGGGCAACGATTTTATTGAGGGCACAGTTTGGAAATTAATTATTGTTTTTTGGCAGGCTGCGTAATAATTTTCTAGGAATCTTAAGTTCTGGATAATAAATTGAAAATAAGTTCAAACTCGAGCTGTGGAATAAATATTATTAAAGTTTAATGTTATTATCATTATATTTTGAAAATTTGAAGCGGCGATTCTTAATTTTTATAAAGGTTTTCCCATATAATAACTGAACAATGTGTATATTTTATGAAAACGTTATATGGCAAGTCTAAGGTTGTGCCAACCCTTGGTTTAAGTTCAGTGGTAGGTCGTGCCAACCCTTGGTTTAATACCAGTGCTAGGTCAAGCCAACCCCTGGTTCAATACCAGTGATAGGTCGTGCCAACCCTTGGTTCAATACCAGTGTTAGGTCATGCCCACCCTTGGTTCATTACCGGTGCTAGGTCAAGCCCACCCTTGTTTCATTACGGTGCTTTCAATGGTGATGACAGCTGTAGGATTCTCATATTTAGGTGCAAAGCCTTAACTGGGGAACCATAATAAATCACAAGGAGGCTATTATTATTATTATTATTATTATTATTATTATTATTATTATTATTATTATTATTATTAAATACCAGAAAAGTTGGCAAGACATTCTGAGTGTTTTTCAGGTTTGACCAGACCAAATGTTGGCTTTGAGACTTTGACATTATTTTATTTTTGAGTCTAAAATATCTTTCACTTTGACTAAATAGTTTTAAGAAAAAGGGAATGTTAATTTAATGTTACATGAAATAACAAAGGATCTGAATTCAGCTCACTTTAAAAAAAAAAATGTTAACAAAATATTTGATTGATTTTTCCAATTTATTCTACAGGTATCGGCAGCACCCTAGGAGCTGGGCTCTATGTTGTGGCTGGCCAGGTGGCTCTTGAAAATGCAGGTCCAGCTGTAACGATTTCTTTTCTGGTTGCAGCTGTTGCCTCAGCTTTAGCAGGTTTGACTGGTTATTGATGACTTGAGTGTGGGGTGGGGTGTGGGGGGTGTGTGTGCTTTAAATCGTGTATTGTGTCAGGGATGTGTGTGCTTTAAATCGTGTATTGTTTCAGGGATGTGTGTGCTTTAAATCGTGTATTGGGTCAGGGATGTGTGTGTGGGGGGGGGGGGGGGGGGGGGGGGGGGGGTTAGAGCACATTGAAATAAAGGATAGTTATACATGGCTGTCTTTAATTGCACTGGAGCTGCCCCAGATTTAGAAGGGGGGATACTTTAATTAAGAATGTTGCAATATGGGGGGTTGGCCTAGTGAATAGTTGGTCTCTTGGGACAGCTGCTTAGTGTGTGACATGCTTAAAGACTGCATTGTATGTGCACAATGTGGTGGTCATCAGATAGTTTTTAACCTAACTTTCTATTTGGATATAATTAAAGATTAGTTATTTATACCTTTTAAATGATATTAAAGTTACTTTTAAATGGTATAAAATTTAGGAATGAATTCACTGATTTCTAAATAATATTAACTGTATCCAACAGTAGGCCTACTTGATGAAAATAATTATTCATAAATTCACCAAAAAAATAGCTATTTCACTCATTTAAATCACCATAGAAAGAGATATTGTCCGGTAAAATGCTTAGTTAAAAGAAATAGATTGTTTTAATTTTTAATAAAGTCATTAACTTTGATGACGTGGGAACTAAAAAGTAATTGAAGCTGCAGTGATTGGGAACCATTTAAGTTAAACTGCTATGGTGATAACTTATGTGTAGGCCTACACATTAATGAAAATTACAATGTGACAGAAATGAGAATGATTTTTTTTTAAAGAAATTTCTTCATTTGATAATAAGTTTATTTTCTGTAATATTTCAAAAGCCTCTTAAATTATTTAAAACATCCAGGCTATTTTTTTCCCTTTCAAGTTTAAAATGTCATTAAAACCCCAACTGAAATTAATTTATACATTTTTTAAAAAAAATTTAATCTGTCTAAATAAGATTTATGAATTTAAAAAAGTTAAATAACCAAATCAGGTTTTTGTAAACTTAAGATAATTACTGAATTTTTTTATTCATTATATTACTTAATTTTATTAGCATAATTTCTCAGTATTGTGTAAATTTTACCGTGTCACTTCTAAAAAAATATGGGGCAAGTGAGTGACATTAGGTGGTGATGTGTCTGAAGTAGTAAATAGCTTCTGAAATGCTTGCTATTGTCTGTACTAATATTTTATCCATTACTTTGTACCCAGGCATGTGCTATGCAGAGTTTGCTGCCCGCATACCCCGAGCAGGATCTGCCTATGTTTACAGCTATGTGACAATTGGAGAATTCATGGCTTTTGTGATTGGTTGGAATCTGGTTCTTGAGTACGTCATTGGTGAGTTTTTTTAGATAATTAAAATGATGACATTATTTCATAAAAGTGATAATAAGCATTATATTATCTCCTTAAAGTAAAGTGAACGTTATTTCAAGTTTATGCTTAAAGAAAATAAACTTAATGAAGAGTGGAGGAGCTTTTGAGTAATAAATATTGAAAATTGATTCTAATTCTTATTCAGGAGGTGTTGTGTATGAACTCTAAAGTTTTAGATACAGTGATTGTGACACATTGAACAAATCCCTATAAATTAATACCCTTTTTTATTGTTACCTGTCATAGCAGGTTACAAAATTTTTTACCTAGCTACCCACATACTGTCCTTTATATAAAATGATGTATTGAAAAAAGTCACTATCCAGTTATCCAGTACATTGGACTGCTATTTTAGTTTAGCTTATTTGACAGACTCTAGATTATCAGTGCATGAGGCCAGACAAAGTTTCCAAAGATTTAATCTTATTTAAATTGACACAGTGAGATCTCACTCTCAGATTACAAGTAACAATCATGTTTAATGCATGGTGGAAAAAAAAAGTTATCTCCTGAGTTAAAGATGTGCCGCTGATGTGATGTAATGTGCCAAAGGTGAACCGAGGCTCTTAATTTCCCATTGCTGATAAGGGAGGTCACATGTAAATTGATTTTACATGTGCTAACTATTTCTATACTCTATATTCAATTAGATTTTACCATGCATTTGATCTTGATAATCAAGTTGCTGATGAGATTTATGAAATGAGTAATACTATTTAAAACACCTAACAATGTCTGTTGTGCATGCCTGGTCTAACCCATTCAAACATTAGAGGGCATAAGAATATTATTTGCACCTTCTTAAGATTACTGAATGCCTTCTCTCCATTGTGCAGAACAGTGGTTTTCAACCTTCCTAATGCCACAACCCTTTAATATAGTTCCTTATGTTGTGGTTACCCCCAACTGTACAATTATTTTCATTGCTACTTCATTAATATGTGTTTTCTGATGATCTTAGGTGACCACTGTTGAGAATCGCTGGTGTAGAATCTTAATGTTTTTTTTTAAGTAAAAAAACATGGCTCAAATCAAAGCAGCACAACAGATCTTAGTGACTTATTTTAAACAGATTCCATACTTTAGTTTAGCACACCTACATTGTATAGACATGTCTAGCCTGTTGTGACATTTGATCAGCAAAATAAAGAAAAGGCTTAGAACTTTTTTCTGTATCTAAATGTTAAATTTGTTCTTTTTTTTAAGAGCAGCATCCTTGATAAAACATGACATCAGAATTATTTTTGGTCAAAGTTAAAAAAAGGAAAAAAAAATTGTGATGAAAAAATTATTTTAACCTTAATAGATATATAGCTTTTCAAGTAATACTTTTGACCTTATTTTAAACTTAATTTACTTGAACTTACTTTAGTCGCACATGCTAATGATTTGTATATTTTAATCTATAATCTCCTCATATACTCACTTATCTATACTTATATGGAATAGTTTCTTTCTTTTCTTGAGCATAAATATACATACACACACATTATATATATAAATATGATATTCTGTGAAAAATATCTTAAAAGTAGATAACAGTTTTCTAACAAGATGCTATAAGATAAAATTAATGTATTTCCTTTTTCCTTTAGGCACTGCCAGTGTGGCCAGGGGCTGGAGTGCTTACTTTGACTCACTCATAGACAAGAAAATTTCAAAATTCTTCAATAGCACAATGCCAATGCACATTGACCAGTTATCAGAATACCCAGATTTCTTTGCCTTTGGAATCACATTACTTTTAACCGGTAATAGATTTTTGGCCTTGAAGTTCATGACGTTAAGACTTCTTGCCTTATTTGTCTAACATAATTTTTATTTTATGTTTCAATATAAATTTTTTTTAAAAGTTATATGTATGTTTAGATATAGCTTGTAATTCCATAGTTTTAAATAGAGAGTTGTAACATTTGATGTGGATCCCAAGTTTAAATCGATAAAGAATTGCATGTTTCAATATCCTAAATATTATGCCATTCAAAATTAAGGCCAAGAAAATAATTTTTCTGACATAATAATTATTATAAGTTTTAGTGAAATAGAATTTAATTACACAAAGAATAAAAAAAATCTCAATGAACTGAGATATATTATTTTTAAAATAAAATTAGTTTAAAATAACATAATAGCCTATAGAATTCAGATTGATGTTCTATTAATATAACTTTAAAAAAAAAATGTATTTATTGCACAGATTACAAATCTATTAAAGGTCAAAATAAAATATTTTAAACATAACTTTTCATCCTAAAAATTTTTATTGTGCTTTTTTGTGTCCAGTTCTGCTAGCGTTTGGAGTAAAAGAGTCTGCCAGATTTAACAACATTTTCACTGTCATAAACCTCCTGGTTGTTTTATATGTTACAATTTGCGGACTCTTCAAGTTAGATTGGCATAACTGGAACCTCTCCCAAGAAGAGGTTTGTTACAAAGTCATAATTTTATTATATGAATTCTAGAATTTAGAAAATATATAAAAATATCAATGGTTTTATTCGAGTTTTCATACCTCTCTTTTTATATGAATTTTTAAAATGAAAAGCTTAAATTGGCCTTTAGTAACTTTAAAAAAGCAAAATCTTTGATTATATATTCAGAACCTTTCATAATATAGCTTTATAATGTTTTGACTCTTTGGCAATTGCTTACAAGGTACCCAAGTCGGCTGGGTCTGGAGGATTCATGCCCTTTGGATTCTCAGGAATGATGGCGGGGGCTGCAACATGCTTCTATGCTTTTGTTGGTTTTGATTGTGTTGCTACAACAGGTATCATAACCATTGAAAACAAAATAATTAAAAACTTTGATTAAACAAAGCATTCATTATGAAATCTTTTAAAATGCAACCTTAAAAAGGAACAACATGCTAAAGAAACAGGTTAATGCATTTTATTTAATTAGGTTGAAAGTAATTTAAGTAATGCATCTTTCCTAATTAAATCATCAAAATGAAAGTCTTTTGTAGTAATACTTAACTCTCAAATATTCTTGATTTTCTGACATTTTCTCTCCTTCATTAGGTATTTTTACAACCTTGCTGGTTGCTCAATGAAGAAAATAGCACTAATAACATGTTATATGTCATTTGATTCAGAATTTAATGATCTATTATTTAATACCCAATTATTACATCACAGTTAATCATGGTTTTGATTTATGGCCAAAAGGTTAGGTTTTTAGGTGTGCAAAACCTTTAAAAAAATTTCAACATACCACAAACAGGCAGAAGCAAAAACAATAAGTATTGAGACCGAAGTTAAAATATTTATTATATCCATCAATGGTATCCAGTATTACAGAACATATAAAACTTTCAAGCTCTTTACAAACAGTTGTATTAATTATGTCACTCTTAAAAATGAATTGATAACTTTAAAAAAAAAACATTGAAATTTTTCTTTAAAAAAAAAATTAAAGAAAACAAGGCAAGTGTTTCATGACACATAGACTACTATTATTAGAAATATTATTATTAGAAATAATATTTTTAGAAATACTATTATTATTAATATATGATATAAGTTGAGATAAATAATCTTAACTTATTTAAAGAAAATATATATACCACATTGGAAATAAATTTATATGGGTTATGAAATATGACATTTTCTGTTATCCAGAAGACTCATATATTTAACAGAGGGAACACAATATGTTTAACATCTTGTCTCTGTTGAATAAAATTAATAAATATTTGCACATTATTAATTTAATTTAAGTAACCATTGAAGTTTTAACAGCATGCTGAGCTATTTTCATTCATATTGCTGCAGCAAAAACATGTGCTTTATCAACAAAGTTTGCCACCGCTTGATTAATTCTACTGAATTAAAAACACTTAAGCTCTAAGATCTTTTTAATTATTCAAAACGAACATTTTGTTTTTTTAAGATTAAAAGAAATATGACTTTTCCGTAACACTAGAAAATGAATTAAAATGAAAGAATAAGGCCCTTGGTCACTTATAATTTTCTTGTACTAACCACCTTGCTGTTCACATCATTTGTATTTATTCTAAATCTGATACTTTTTATCAACTAATTTTATCAAAATCCAAACAACTAGACACATTGGTTACACTCAGACTAACTTGCAATAAGAAACAGAACCATTTATACTGTTCAATTAGATATGGCATATGCAAAAATCAATAATTCATTTACCGTTATGTTATTCTTTACTGGTATTGTGTTACATTTATGAAATGGGTATGTCCTATCATTTCCTTTTTCTCTTGATAATTCAATATTGTTGTTCCATGGACAATATTTGCATGTATATCCTTTGGACCTGGTCCAGGTGAAATTGAACTGTACCTGCTTGTAAGCAGATGCCTCAGTTTTATTTTTAGAAACTTACCGTATGGGCCTGTAAATTAGCCTAAATTTTAAAAATTTATGAGTTCCATAATCCAATGAATAAACTCCTTTTATCCTGTAACAGTTTACTCAGTTGGGGCTTGTAGATGAGAAGTCCAATGAATGTTGGACATTTTTTTCATCAACTGGAATGTCCAGTTGTAAAAACAAGTTGGCTTAGTTGCCATAACATTACAGCTGCAATTGTTGATGTAAATTAAAGTTGAAAAGTGATACAGGTGAAAGTACTCCTTATCTTGTCTTGTTTTGGACAGGGTTCAGTCGGTAACTCAGGCCTTATGACAGGAACAGCATTGCCGTGATGACTGGGTTGCCCAATGCCCTAGTCACGACTCTGATACTGTGAAATGATAATAAAAAATAAGCATTACATATATGCTTAGATCTTTTTTATTTGAAAAAAAACTAAACATTGTTTTTTTCTACTATTTCCACAAAATTTGAGTGCTATTTAACCTGTTGTAGGTATTTGGATATGAAAAGTTGAATGAAAAAATAAATGAACTCAGCTCTAAAATAGCCCTTGTTAAATTGAGTAATAATATGTTTTCATTTTTCATAAGTACTTTTGGTTAAAGCATAATGATTTTTTTAGTGTATAAAAAACGGCCATATTTTTTGGACCACTTTTCAAAACATATTTAATTTACTAAAAGGCACATAGCTTTATAGCAGAACGAACAAATTATATGAAACTTTTTAGAAGTGTTAAACATTATATTATCAACATCTTTCTAGCTTTAATTTATTATTATAAGTATAGTATTTGAAAAATAAATTTCAGTATAATTAAAACATTAAAAAAAGTAGTTTTTTTTAAATAATTTTTTTTATTACATAAATCTCCTGGTTTGAAGTATTGAATAATCAAAGTGTAAAATAATGTAATATAGGTGAGAAAAATTCAAGTTATAATCCACCAGTCACTCATGACCGAAAAGTCATTAAAACATACTTTGAGAGTCCTTGAGTCTAAGTTACCATGTAAAAATGAAGCTCATTAGTTGAAATATCAACATAAAATTTTTAAAATTTATTTCAAACTATTTGCTACATGTGTTAACAATTTTAAAAATATTCTTCACCAGGAGAGGAAACCAAAAACCCACAGCGAGCAATACCCATAGGAATAATCGTTTCCCTCCTCGTCATTTTCTTGTCATACTTCAGTGTGTCCGCAATAATCACACTTATGTGTCCTTATTTCTTACTGGACAGAGATGCTGCTCTACCGGCAGTATTTGAGCGTGTAGGTTGGGGAGTAGCCCGCTACATTATAACTGCTGGTGCTGTTTGTGGTCTGTCAACAAGGTAAAATTGGTTTGATACTTTTTTGTTGTGTACAACAGGGGCGAATAACCATTTTATTGCCATGAACTTCTTCTCTTGCCACAGTTTTGGAAATTAAAAACTTTTCTCAGTTGTATGTGTAGGGCCCTTTAAGCTTAAAATAGCATATAGCACTTTGATCTAGAAGGAATTTTTTTTTTTTTTTGTAAAGGCAATAATTTATAAGTTGTAAATGAGCAGTTTAAAAACTTTTAGTCTCACTTAATCCAAAATTCTTCAACACACCTTTTAAGATCAATAAAATAAATAAAACAAAAGAAAGCAACAACAACAAAAAACCAACAACCAACAACCAAAAAAACCAACCAAAACACTGAACATACTTTAATAAGCCTGTACATGGGAACATACAACTTTTTAATATCAATATCCCTTCAGTATTTTATTGCTGAGAATTAATTCTGTCAAACTTCTGCAGCAATGTGTTGGTGAATATAGCATAACAAGCTGCCAAGTAACACCAAGGCTCACATTTAAAAATTTTTAAAAAATTTTTTATAAGGTAAACATCATAAACTGTCTTACCATCAATATGGTGTCTGTGTCAGCAAGTGCCTGCTTGGCCAGGTATCGTTCCCTCTTTATCTTAAGTTCTAGAGTCTCAGGTACATCTGGCACCAGTATGTCTATTAACTTGCATATACCAAATACAACATGCTGAAAGGAATGAAGAGCAACAGGTAAGTCATTAAACCTTTGTTTAATACTTAGTTAAATTTCCAAGAAATATATACAGGGTAGAGGAAAGTTAAATTTCTAAGAAATATATACAGGGTAGTGGAAAACCAAAAGACAGACCATACAAAAAAGTGGATGTTTTGTAGAAAAAAAGTCCTTCTTTGAGTTTTCCTCTACCCTGTATATGTTTCTTATTGTTTCAACCTGAAACATGTTTTCCCCATTTTTCTCTTATAAATTTCCAAGAATTGACAAGTTTGAATGTATTGAAGATTTCTAATGTGGTAAGAAGGACCACTTACAGGGGAAGATGGAATTATTGTATTCTTATGGTAACAAGGGAGAGAGACTGCAATCATATTGTATTCTCTGATGGCTGCATTATGGTGTCAGATGACCAGACAGAATTACCAATCACACAACCGGAACTTTTAACAATTTTTAATGTTTCTGCTTCTAATTGAAAAACTCAAACAAAATTAATATTCACTAATAGACAATTGATATTGGTTTAAATTATTCTTTTATTTGACCACTCACATTTGTTTAAAATATCTTGTTATGGATAATGAACTCGTTTACCTCAAATACAATGACAAAAGCAAGCCGGACTGCTAATAACTTCCAGTAGAACATAGTATGATTTCCATCTGGTTCTCGGAAATCTCTGTATCTATAAAAATAATTTTGGGTGGTTTTGTTATTTCTTATATGGTAAAATTAATATTTAAAAATGAAGTCCAATTTATACTTTTTTTTAAATTTTTTTTTAGAAAAGACAAGCTATCTAAATATTATTTGTGCTTTCAAATATTTTGCAAATGAAAATTCCTTTTTAACAACTTGATGACTTACACCAATTTGGCTGATTTATCTCCCTTCGAGAAAAAAAAAAAAAAATGCTAAGTTTTGTTTATAAGATGCAGTTACCTGCATGTCTCCTTTAATGTGTTATTTGGTGACAATGCCAATGTAAAGTTTGTATAACCTTCCAGACTCCAGTTATATTGGTACTTGTACATCAGACGAGGTAAAAATTCTGAGGTGAAGGCTATTAAAAAGGCCTGGAACACAAATTTATTTTTGAAAACTATATAAGTGATGACTTGTAGTGTCAGTTCATTAACATTAAAAAAATAATTTGCCCACCTGAGTATATTTTTTGTCAGTTGAGGTGTGCAAAATATTACGAGGTATCAATTTGTTTAATTACATCAAAGTTTTATTCCCCACTTTTGACTTGAAACTGGTCCTGTCTTTGATTTTTAAATATCTGTCACAATGTTGAAATATACTTTGCAAGAAATTTACGTTTAGGTAGATGAACGGTTAAATTAATACTCCATACATAATAGTGTTGGATAATTTGCACATAATATGATTTAAATATGTGCAGCCACAAATGACCACCAAAATGTTGGTGTTAAGTAGTATTTAACTAATGCTATAATACTATTTACAACTCAAAAATACACAGGATAATATAAGTCATGTAGTATTCAATTCCTTACCAGACTACCATATTTGTTTCAAATTGATCAATACGTTTTAAGCTCTTTTATCATATGTAGCTATTTAAAAATATAGATTGGACGAAAAAAGTGTTTGCGAAATAATTTAAACTTGTTGCTACTGTAGCCGAATCGGGCTTTCAAAATCAAAATTGTTTTGATTAAGTTTAAATGCACCCATTACTTACATTACTAATAACTGCCAACTGGGCCAAAGTTTCAAGGATGGTGAACCAAACCCCAATGTCCTGAGCTCTCTCTGCAACAGGCCGTCTGGTTTCACACACAAACTTGTGAGCGTCCAGCCTTATCTCCACCCAGTTATTCAGCAGTGCAAAGAGTGGCGCCAAAGGGAAAGCAGCGACAAATATTGTGATGAAACCAAATTGTAGAACTTGAAATTAAAAAAATTGCAAGATTTAATATTAGTTAACTTAAATATTTTAGCTAAAATTAATGTTCTGCAATATTTTTGTATATAAGATGAACTTAGTGAATTGTTACAAATATGTAATGATAACTATAATACTAGGTTGTCCTTTTACAATGTTTAGTTCATGCGACATCACACCAAACCCACCACAAAAAAAAAAAAAAAAAAAAAAAAAAAAAAAAAAAAAAAATCAAACAAGAAAAACATAAAATTATGGTTTGAATAAAATTAGTTTTCAAGCACTACAGAAATTCAAAGAACAGTGATTATTACCAAAAAATTGTCATGGAAGTGATTTTAAATGGTCATAGGCTCTTCATAAAATTCCTCATTTAGTTAAAATTCTTCCAGTCTTTTAGGTGCCATGTTTCCTTTACCAAGAATCTTGTATGCCATGGCCGGTGATGGTGTTATTTTCAAAATTATGGGTAAAGTTTCTCCTAGATTTAAAACCCCTGTCATTGGAACAGCCATATCAGGATTATTTGCAGGTGAGTCTTTCTTAACTTATTTAATGAGTTAACTTTATTTTAATATTAAATGTAAGCAAGAAATCATTATAATAAAATTCAGCCCACCACTGACAAGCAAAGATTTGTCACTGAATTGGCTTCCAACAAAATTATTTTATGATTACTTTCTAAGTAGTCTGCCCATTGTATTTTTTTCACAGACACATTAAAATGTACTCAACGCCATTGTACTTCACATAACTTTGAAACCTATGAATAGTGAACCTTGAAAATGAGGAAACTCACCTAAAAATAAAAAAAACCCTGATACTCCTTAAATAGCGCAAATCCTGTAATAGGTCACTGCGCAAGGGTTTCTTGCACAAGAGGAAACAGTGGAGTGGAGGGTTGGGACCTCCCTGGGCAGCACATTTTTCTATGTATTGAGGGGTGGCATTTTCTGCCACTTGCAGAGCTTTTTTTTTATTGGGTGGTGAGGGCTGTGGTGGGGGACAAAAATCTTTGCCTGAAATTGGCAGCACTAACTCTAGCTTTGCTACAGTTTTTCACTCTGTCATCAGAAGATATGCTACAAGATTTATGGTTGTGAATGAATTGTAGGAATTATGCATGCATTATTACAAGAAATAGTGAAATCAAGATGATCAAAATGGCCACAGTGCACAAATCTTGCTTGGTTTCATAATTTTTTTTGCGGCTAGTAGACATAGAAACATGTAACCTATGTGTATGCATTTGCTGTGTGTTTTTTCATTCTTCTTATATTTTAATATGCATTCTTGTTATGTTTTAATGTGCATTCATCTTCTTCGTTCAATGTTATTATGCATTATAATTATTCTTGCCAAACAGGCTACAAGCAGCAAACTTTTGGTTTGGTCTCAAGAGTTTGTGCCATGCACAGGTTTCACTGCATTATAAAAGACTTTTAACGTTTTGCCACTGTAGTACTTCATCTTGGCCAAATTTATTTGTTTGTTAATTTGTTTGTATACAAATCACCGTTGAAAAGTTTAATGGGCTTTTTATAAAATCTACAAGGTAGCTGACAAAATACTCGGCTCATTTGTTAAGACCCCTACCAATATTTCAGGCATCATGGTCTAGGGTTATTTATTACTGTGTGTCATTCTCATCCAACAAGGATCACACACATGCTTGTCAAAACAATTTTAATAACTCTTTGTGAAATTCAGTTATTCTTTAATGGTCATAATTGCAAGAGATGAAGAGACTTTATACACTTTGTACCTACAAGCAATTGGGCAATATGATTACCTCCTGGTGACTGTAAAACAAGTACAAACTGGAATGCTATGGCCACGCAACAAGAAAACAATGGCTCGCAAAAGAAATCATGCAGGGCACAACGAGAGGAGGGAGAAGATGAGGAAGACAGGGAAAAAGATGGAAAGATAACATCAAAGAGTGATGGGAAAAAAACTAGGCAATGCTGTGCAAAGTGCAGAAAACAGAGAAGAATGGAAGAGGATATTTTTCATGTCATCTGTGGCGCCCCAATGGTCCAAGTACTTAAGGACATGATGATGATGATAATGATGACCTGTAAAGACACAATAATAATAATCCCTTGCCAACTCTACCACATTTCCTGCATCGCTTGTCCACTGACTGCTAAAATCAACACTGAAGCAATAACAACAAAGAATTCATCTCTCATAACCAAAAAGTCAATACAAACAACTTAGCAACCACTGCAAAATTAATCTCAAAACCAAATGCACTCACTAACACATCATTAACAACTAACAAAAATGATTCTCATACTCTTAACAACAACAAAATCTCAGTTCTAAAAGGTAGTTTAATTTAGGGAAGATTAAACCTTTTAGTATTATTCATCTATTATAAAAATGTCTTGCTTAGACAGTGCACCTCACCAAGGCATCTGATTTTTTTTCAATAATTTCATGGTGTGTTGTAAAATTTTAGTAATTAGCTACAGAGTGTTGCGGGGTAAAAAAATTTGAACACCTCTGGCTTAACTGATTGTTTAGTTACAATTGTTTACTCTATTTATATTTAGGTTTAATGGCTATGCTGTTTAACCTGAAAGAATTAGTGGACATGATGTCTATTGGAACATTATTGGCATACACACTTGTAGGGATATCTGTTTTGATTTTGAGGTATATATAATTTGATTTATACATTTTCCCTTTACATTATTATACTAAAAATAGGTAGAAAATATCCACTCCTTAAAATAGGTTTAAAGTAAAAATGTAAAAGGTTGGATTAAATAAATTATTTATGTCCTTCGCTGGAGGAATTAATTTATAATATTTAAATACTTAATTGCTACTTTTTAAAACATAAATTGAATATTAAAAAGGTCTATCATTAATGAATCTGAAGAAGAAAGGAAAATAAATTATGGACTGTGCAATTCTTTAAAATGAAACTAAAAACATTTTTGTTCTTTGATTTGAAATGATATGTAGGTATGAAGCAGATATAAACCTCCTTGGAAGTATGAGTGTTACAAAAATGGATAATGCTGAACGTCTTGCCACAAAGAGAGAGACATTTTCACCTAGAAAATTGATATTTCCAGATACAAAAAAACCAACACTTCTTACATCATTAGTAACAAAAGTTTCAGTAGCATTTTTATGTGAGTAAATGCCTCATCATGAAAATTTGAGATATGATATTCCATTCAGGAATAGAATATAGTTATTAATGGGTATTTTTTGTTAGATGATATTCATTCAAATATCAGTAACTTTATTATAATTAATTTTATGTGTAGATTAGTAAAAACAACATTTGTTTATTTTCTATTATTATAAGCCATTGCTTATTGTATTTTTTTAATTATTTATGATTGGAAGTTATAAAAGTATCAGTATCTCAAAATTCAATGGTAAATATTAATGATTTCAAAATAATAATTATCATAATAAACACATTAACATCCTTTTTGTTTTGTTATCTTAACCCTTGAAGTTAATTAATGCATTAAAATAAAAATCGTCCACAGGTTTGTTCATAGCAGCATTTTCAGCCTTTGTTATATTTGCTTCTGATCATTTGGAAAATAAGGAAGCTTGGGCTATTGTTGTGGCAATAGTTTTAGGCCTTTTACCTGTGGCTTGTCTTGTTTTTATACAATGTCAGCCACAGAGCACAGCCCCTCTTGCATTTAAGGTATGAAATAAATATGTTATTTTATGATTGATCAAAACTTAAAGAAAAATAATATTTATTTGTACTAATTTTTTATATGTATTTGTACTAATTTTGTATATGTATTTGTACTAGTTTTTTTAAAATGTATTTGTATTAATATTTATAATTCAGCTTTAATTTGAAAGTTAAACCTTTCTCTCTTAGTTAAATTATGTTCAATATATTTGGTTTATGTGGCTATATATAAATTCTAGTATTGAAAATTCTTGTTAGTTGTTACAGATTTACAACTATAAAAAATTCTGTTTTGAAATGCAAAGTATGATTAAAGAAGAGAGAGAAAAATGAGAAACACTTGGTCGTAACAAACTGGCAGATTAAAAAAAAACAAAAAAATATGTTCTCTAGTATTAGTAAAATGTGCATCGATTTTTAGTCGAATCAGCCATAATGGCTACTAGTGACCCAACTTTGAGAGATAATTATATACTACATACTTGACCTTCCCCCAAATTTATATAATGCAAACAAATTCTCATTTGGTCATATTCCTTCATGTAGCCTGCACTTTTCCAATTGACTTCATCTGTAGGTGCCGTTTGTGCCATATTTACCGGCGATAAGTGCTCTTGTAAATATCTACTTAATGCTCAAGTTGTCTGCCATGACATGGGTCAGATTTGGTGTTTGGATGTTAATAGGTAAGAAAGCATTTCTTGAGAGCTTTTCCTATAAATTCCTCTTAATTATTTAAAGCATCCTTAGCATTAGCCACACTTTTATTTATCCTCTTTTTTTTGTTTATTAGAAGTGATCTATTAAATAGAGTTTTCAGTCCAAGCAATGGCTTAAAACTTCATATATGCTTATTCTTCTTAATAAAAATGAAAGATTATTTTTTTAAAGCCAAAATCCGTAATACTTAAAAAATGTTACATTCTTACTCTGCCAATAGCCAATTAAACATTGGTTTATGTTGATTGTTAATAAAATAAATAAAACCTTTCAATAAGAAAGAGAGTTAATGATCCAATGAGTTAATTAACCACATATTTTAAGGTATTTAATTAAAAAAAGAAGAGAAAAATATTTATATTCTCTATATTATTAGTTTGCATTATGTTAGTACTCTTTGTTGTACAGAAGCAATTTCTTAGCATAGCATTAAAAGATAACATTAGGCACGTTATTGCATGTAGTGCTCCCAAAAGCTTTCAGTTATTTCACATTTGACTTGCTTTGATTTCTTTTTTTTTATCTTTAGAGTAGTGTTCCATCTACTAACAAATTGCTTGGGCTTGTAAAAAAAACAAAAACAAAACAAAACTACAGCTTTGTAATAACTCACATTTACATTTTTTAGCTTTCAAAATTTTAAATCACTGAATGAGACTATTAGCAATTTTGATGCACATCATTCCACTGATACATAAAAACAATAGATTCTTCTCACATCATCTCTACTTTATTTACCTTTCCGTTATGCATTTAGGAATACTAAATAGCAATAAAAATAGTATTGATGAAATATTTTGAATAAAGCCTGGCCTACTTTAATATTAACTTTAATTTCCCGGATACTTCTCCTAAGCAATTCCTATACTTTAATTCATTTTTTTAATCATTCATGAGAAATGCATGTGTTGTCCCATATTTTCACCCATAACTAATCATCAGTTTTAACCCACACCGTTTCTCATATGCTACTGTTATCCACACTGCTCCTTAGATTAATTTCTGTTACAGGGTTCTCAATATACTTCTTATATGGTGTGTGGAATAACACAGCTGGGATACAATTAACATCCGAGTCTATATCAGCTCTGTCGACCGATGGCAGCGAGGACAACAATCATATAGCCGAGGACCTTAATTTAATTGAGAAAGATTCAAATGATAAAGACAGATATACATCTTAACAATATATAAAAAAATATAGAAAGTTCTCTTTGAGATATAAATTAATATGAATACACATTTAATAAAAAGTATTTTAAAATCCATTTTCTAAAAAAAGCTATATTGATTTGACACATTTATAACAAATGATTAGTAATTAGTATTATGCTTCTTAACAAATATAGATTTACTATTTATTTCTTAAAATACCCTTTTTTGTTATAAAGTGCACATTTCTTTTGTATGTAGACCATTAAACTTAATTGTTAGATAATGAAACCATTTAATTAAAAAGAACCTTCTCTCATAAAAAATTATAATTAAAAAAATAATCCATAAATAATAATTAGATCTAATAATAATTGCCAAATCATCTATTTAGTGCTGTCATTGTTAACTTATTTCATCTCTTTTATTCTAGAACCTATGCATTTTGATTTATTTTAGAAAATATCTCTAAACAATTAAGAAATCAAATGCACTAAATAAAGTCTTGATGTCCTGGCATGTCTCTATATGTGTGAATATTGCATTTCAGAATTGTAGTGTTATAGATCTTGACAGATGAAAAACAAAAAAACATTCTGTATCATATTTTATTGCATTAATATTGAATGTGTGTGTTTGGAAGGCTTAACCCCACCTTTTGATCAGATCTGGGCCATCTTAACAGCAACAGGGGCCACTAGGCAAGTTAAGGCATTGAGCCCTCTATTCCTCCCTATTCTATTCAAGTAATGTTAGAAAATCCATTTAGGGCCCACGTTGCCCCATTCACCTAACAAGTGTTTCTTTCAGGACAATTTCAGGTATTTGGAGGTGGGGGCTAGAAGGAAGGCATGCTATCTATCAGCCCAAAAAATGAGGCATAATGACACCCAGGGCCAGCTCTGACTCCATTGCCCAAACAAAATATATATTTATTCTTGTTGTATATATATATATATATATATATATATATTCAATGAAATTGGTGTGTGGCTTTGGGAGGGGTTGTAGCCCTTCCCCACAATTATTTTATAAATTAAATTTGCGAGGATGCATTTTGGTTTGTACTTGAATTTAGTTTTGCATTATTCTACACTTAATTGTTGACCAACAGAAGAGATGCTAGTGGAATTTAGATTCCCTTGACCTTTTTGTTTTTATACAAATTTATTTTAAGTTTTTTTCTAATTAGCAATGTTGCTTTACAATTGTTTATTTAAAGAATTATTTGTTTAAAGTAATTCATTAATAAATAATAAACATTACAAGTCTAACAGATACTGAAAGAGAAAACAAATGCTGTTTTATAGAAAAAGTCTTGGTATTTATATGGTTCTTTGAAACCAGTCATTTTTATATTTGTATTTAAATGGCAAAATTATGTAAAGAAAACATAATAACATCTTTACAAAAGGCATCATATTAGATTTAAATATTTATTTATGTGTGATTGATCTGACTGGAATTGAAGCTGTATAAATTCCGCCCAAAATTCAGTAGATTGAAAGATTTATATGTAATTTCAGACTGAAGTCTTTTAATCTTTTTTTAAAAATCTTTTGATAAAATAATAATTAGAGAATATATGACACCTATTGTAAAACTCCTTCATTTGCTTCAAACTTTCACCCACCCCAAATCCCAGTGTTTATTTTTTAGTTGATGATTTAGCCAAAGAAAAATTGTCTAAAATTGGTACCAAAAAAAGGATAGAATTGATTTGAAATTTAAAAATAAAACATGCTTCCCACTGCACTTTTAAAGTAAATTGAATTGTCAAAATTATTTCAAAATTCAATTACAATGTGGGCAGCATGATGCCCCTAAAAGCGTGAGGCTCCCTAGAAAAGTAAGGCCTTGCGCATCTTCCCAGTATGCCCGTGCTTCAAGACGGCACAGGATCAGATCACTGCATATGTTCAATACATTCAATCAGTAAAGTGTATTGATATCCTGTAAACTACAGCTGAATATTAGAAAATCAAACTCTTACTTTTCTTATATAGTTAAACCAGTATTTTAGGACAGACTTTAACCTGACAGAGTTTGACAAGATTTTTTCCCGAGACTTTAGGATTTAAATATCTTGTTTCTGCCACCTCTTTTTTGTTGTCTACTTGTTTGGTTCATATATAACCATATTTCAGATAATGTAGGTATATAAGTTATGCAAATGTTAGTAATATGTAATTATTTGGAAAATATTTCTTGTGTAGGTAAGTTAAACTACAACTCGTACAGTTTCTGTGTGTAAATATTTAACATTATATAGTTTTCATTTTGTATATATCATTTTAGATTACCTACTTAAACCCATTTTCTTAGAAAAAAGACAATTAATTGAAAGAAGAATAAGGAGATAAATATGATTACCATGAATGGCTATTATTGATTTATTATTTTCTATGCATTTGGAAGAAGTTAAAATTTTTAAAAAAGCTTTTTTAAAATCAAAATTAGCATAAATGTGTTATACATAATTTTTTAAATATACAACATTGCATATTTTTTATTTAGGTTTCATCATATATTTTGGATATGGAATTCGTAATACTAAACAGGAGATGAATTATGTGCATCCAAGCTCTATAGAAGAAACTGATGAAGAAGACAGCATGCAAAAGGAGACTTCATACCGTCCTTCCAATTATGGAACAACAATAAATGCATGTGATACTTCTAGAGGATCTTGATGACTGGCATTTTTTACTTATAGTGAAATGGGCCTACATGCTTTAAAATAAAAAAATTGGTGCAATTAGCACAATCTTTTTTTTATAAGGGGAGCAATCTATTAATTAAAATTTAGGGTAGTCAAAACAATTTTTATTGTGTCAATACTTTTTGCATTCACAATAAAATATTCTTATAGCTAGTTAATGCAATGTTAATTAAGCAAAGTTTTGGTTTATAACAAGTATTAATCACTTTATTTTAGGAAGTCAAATATTATTGAGTTGCTAAAATAGGGCTTAAATTTGGGCCTCATTTAAACATTTTAGTTATTTTTACAGTTTAATGCAACATTTTTCTTCAAGTTGTAAATCTACTTAATGAAGCTGTTTCACTAAATTGAGATCCTTGAAATAAGAAATACAACTAAAGTCAACACGAGTGGATTAATTACTATAAAACTACTTTCCTGAAAATTAAATTTAAAAAGATATAATACCAAAAAAAACCAACAAATTGAGCCTAGAAAAAAATGCTTTAGAATCTACGAAATAACATCTCAAACACCTATTTAATTTGACCTATATGATAAAAGTCTAAAAATAAAATTAAACATAAATATATGAACATAAGGGTTTTTTGCATAATAATGTAGCTAGTCTTTAATATTTGACAGTAGTCTATAATGCTTATATTCTTTAAAGTTTTCTCCAGTTCAAACTCATCTCATCCTTTATGCTACACTTGAAGTCTTACAAGATATTTTATATATTTGTTTAAAACATTTTCTATACAGTAGTTGGCATCAATATATCATGTAATAAAGTATATCTTTATTATTTAATTTTGAAATGAAATAACATTAAAAAAAATTTTGTTTGGTGTATGGATTTTTTTGCACTAATTACAAGAAAGGACATTTACTTACTAAAATGAAAGCCTTTGTAAAATAAAGCTTTTGACATGACCTATTAAAAGCTAAACTTTGTAATATAATACTTAATATGGTTTGTAAATTTTAAGCTTTCTTAAGTGCATATTAACAAAATGTGATTTTAGCCTTGAGCAGAGTAACCAAAAAAATATTTTTATTGATTGATCAAAAACCTTTTTATTTAACAAAATTATACATAAAATGAGGGTAATTTATTAAACATTTTTTTCTTCCAAGGAAATTAGATTCTAACTAGTTCCGTAAAATGATTTGGAATTGTGATAGCTTTATCCTGGTTGCACTAATGAAATCCTTGATTGCTTTCCAGTCTATTGACCTGCAATAGGTTTGTGTTCATAGCTGTTATAAAACCAAGTAATATACGCTGGACCAAAATGGTTGTCTACCCTGTCAAAGTGTAGGCATGTATAGACCATGAAATCCAATATTATATATATATGTATATGATTCCTAAGATTATTTGTGGGTTTGACAAATTCTTTTATTTGTTGAACTTGTTTAGCATTGCTTTGTGTATTGTTTTCCCAAATATTAAACACATTGTTAAACTTTATTATTCTCTTTTAATATGCTCAAATTAACATTTTTGTGGAAAGAGCAGAATGGTGCAGGCCACACTGCCAGTAGCCTCTATAATTCCATTATGGGCAATCTGAGATTTCTGAACATTGTGGTCTCATTTAGTTCAAAGGGAAACCTTAGATTAACATGCAAGTTGCAAGTTTAAAAAATAATATAAAATTAAACTTTAAAAAAATAAAATATATCATGCTTTTTTAAAGCTGTGTTAATATATTTTGTTATAGGGGATGGTTTCCAAAAAAGTATAAATACAAATTTTAGCCTTGCAGAAGTTAACATTCATCACATCATTTTAACTGCATTTCATTTAGAATACACATTTTTATGATTACATGAAGGTTCCCATCTGATGCAATTTGAAATTGTGCTAAAATTTAATTCAGTACCCTGACATCAGCTTTTCATTAAAATATTCATAATTGAACCTATCTTTCCTATTCTCAAGGGATCTTCTTATTTTGAATGTCGAAGAATCATTTTACTCAATGTGCTCACAGGGATAAGAACAACTTATGCACATTTTAAAGCAATGAATGAGAAAGTTGTCCCAATGACCAGTCAATGTTGGAAAAGAATGGATACCTTAAGCTTTGATAAATTGATATTACTATCCCTAGCCTGTAATAATTGAGGGTTAAGCTAAGTGTTTACTACTTTTGTTTTTAACTTGGGTTAAATCTACATTTTCACAAGGTAATAAAGTTATCTTGAATCGAAAGGCACATCAAATGCCATAATGTAATTTAGTGGCTTGAGTTATTCCCCAACTTTAAAAAGCTTGTCTTAAAGGAAGCAATAGTCAAATTTTCACTGTTAAAATAATGTAAAATTTCAATACAACTTATTTTTTGATCAATGATTTTAGTGCAACAAAAATATGAGTTGTTTTTAAATGCGTGACAGAATTGTAAGACTTTTCAGGCTGGTAAAAGATACAAGTCATTTGAAGACCACTATTATAAATGCTCTTAGAAATAAAATCTAATAATTTCACATGCAAATAGGGCTTTCATTAATCAAATTCCTTGTTGTCCATTAATGAAAACACATTACATTCATGTTCATGAAATATTAAAAATCTAAAATTTTACTTTCTGATTTGCTTTTTTGTTTTTCCCAAGTGTCATTTCTATTTTATGTTTAATAAGATTTAAAGAAAAGTTTGAATTTTCCACACATTTTGTCTTTATCCACAAGAGCATCATATTTAAACATTTTTGCATTTGAATTTATTCTTGAAAAATATTTTGAAAAAAAAAGCTTCCACTGTCCACTTTTGTTTTCAAAAAGCTCTGCAAAAGTGTTGAATTTTAATTTGTTTAAATTGCTCCATAAGTGAACCAGCCTAATAACTAAGAGCATATCATTTTAGTGACAAACACAGATTTCAAGTCTTAAATAGTGTTTATTAATATTTGTATGTTACATACCATTATATAATAACTATATCCATGAAAGGAAAATGCACAAGAGAAATAATGTTGGGGTAATATTTCAAAAGAAATGATCGGTGTAGAAAATTATCACGTTAGAGTATTATGAAAAGGGATTTCAAGGTATGATTTATGTACAATTAAAGTAATATGAACATTGATGAGGGAACATTATTTTAAAGTAAATTCATATTTACAAGTTGTAAAGAAAGCAACATGTAAAAGTCATACTTAGCAATATAATTAAAAAATTAAGTTAGAATAATTTTAAAATGTACATGCATACTGTATTATGTTGGCCTGTCTATAGCAAATTAAAAACTAGAGAATTTTTTACTCAATTTAATTGGCCTGCTATAACTTGTAAACAATAGGAAAACAATCAATCAATTGCTAGAAATCAGCTGAAATCATTTATTTGCCATGTTAACTTTAGTCACTAACTAAAAATAGTCTTAAAACTTTTTACAGCTGTAATACCTTAAATAAAATGCTATTTCAAGTATATAATTATTCCCTTTAAGCCAAAAGTTGGGCGAATAAACAAAGTTACACAATGTTAAAAACTGGTATGTTATTAAAAAAAAGTTTGTGCGACTTAGATGACAATACATTTTTAGATTCTATAAATTAGCAACAAACACAAATACAACTTCCTAACTACTTTTATTTTGTTTCTAGATACAGAATTTGTTTTAATCTCCTCTATAAGGGCTTATTTGAAAACTTGCTAAAGTATTCTGACTTTGTGAGTCTGTAAGATTTGCATCTGCTTCACTTCCCATAATAAAAAAAAAGCATGCAGATAGTAATAACATAATACATGCCAACTTAATGGCTTGATCTACTTTACCAGTGGCCACTTTGAAATTGGTCCCTTTTTCACAGAGTAATATGATCATAAGACTGTTAAATTTACCAAGGAATTAGCAGTGTTGGTTAAATCAATATGTGATGGAGTTTTTTCAAGTGTGAAACCAAACTTTCATAATGAATTAAAAATCTTAAAATTTATCAATGAAACAGGAAGCCTTTCATGTAAAATAAATAAAAATTAACTGTATCCATATTTAAAACAAATATCTGGGATAAAAATATCTCTCTATTCATGCTTGTTGTCAAAAACTTTGTTTTCATTTTGTTGCTAACTTGTTAAAAAACATTAAAAAGCCCACTAAATTTTTACTAGTAAAGATATTGAGGCAAAATGTTATTTAATCGGCAAAGTTCATTGCTGAAATTATTGAATTTTTTTACATATTTGAATGATTTTAATTTCAGATAAAATGAAATTGAAACTTTTGAAAAAAAGCATTTAGATTATTTAAAAAATACAATGTTGAAAGCATTGAAATTTAAAAAAAAAATTTTTTTTTACATTCCTGGAAACTTTAATTCTTGCAAAATATCGCAACAGATCTGTCACCAAAACATTCATTATTAAAAGAGAATTAACCAATTAATATCACATAAATCTGTATCAAGCTGATCACAGTTAACATATTATGCTGATGATTATAACATGAGTTTTTCAGAAACAAAGAAATCAAAGGAATGTGAGGAAAGCATGTAAAGTAAAAAAAAACAAGAACAACAGTTAGAGCAAATTGAAGTTACAAAGTGACTTTTCCATAAAAAAAACAAACAACCTTATATTTTAAGCAAGGTATAAATAAAATACATCTTAGCAATGCACATCTCAGACTTTACCTCTGATGGCGAATTTGCTTGGCCTGTACATAGATAACGTCATCACAAAATCTATTCACAAAGTAACAAACAAAACTGATTAAGCAAATAATCTTAGAGATGGCTTTGGTGTAAACTAACGAATACAAGACCATACTGTCTTTAAATGCATGATTGCATGCAAACTTCTACCTCTTAAACCAGAAAACATAAAAATATAATGGCCTAATAAATAATGATTTTTGTTAACCTTCTATATTATTTTAAGTAAATACATTTTTTAAATGTAAATGCATGCAAATAAAAAAACAATAAAAAAAAAAATTATAAACTTTGAAGTATGCAAATTTAGAATGTCTTAGTTTGCATGGGACTTAAACAATTATAAACATGACATATCATGATTTTGTAATAAAATGTAACTTTTCAATTCACTAATAAGTGAATTTTTCCTATCCAAAAGAAAATATCATAATATTTTTCATCAAGCAGACATTTCAAAGATTCAACTGATTGCATCTGTTTTGAAATATAAGATAATGTTTGCATGGTAAAAATTTCCAAGCTTTAAAAATTGAGCTTATTGTAAACAGGGAATGCCAATGCTTATTTATTACTAACAGATAAAAACATTTAGTTGGTAGAGGAGATTTTATTTTATTTCACTATCTAATTTTATTGTTATTAATTGACATGGTTTTCATTTTTTCAAGATACTAATGTGATAATTAAGTAAAGCAACTCTTATATGATGTCTATGAAGTCCATCGTTATCATCTACTTTTAAAAAAAATATAAATACATTTTGCTTACTTTTAGTAATGAAAGGGTTTAATTAAAATATACAAAATTATCCCTCCCAGGTTAGTCTATCATAAACATAAGTTGTAAAGATGTCACTTTGTACATCACCAGGAGCTGGTTTATTTAATCCAAGCATGCTAAAAATCTGGTCCAAGCGTTAAATATGATAAGTCACATCTGGGCTATGGAGAGTTCTCAAAATATTATTATTAGCCCCTCAGGTGGCTAAAAGGCCATCCTTATTTGCTCATTTTTCAACATTTTATGTTCTTAGTGAGGCTATGACCAAGCATGCCGTGGTGAATATGAATATGTAATTAATTTTTTTCATTAATTGAAAATATATTTTCTGCTTGTCAACACACTAAAAACTTTCTAAATGTGATTGTATTTAAAAAAAGTGATATTTAATTAATTAGTTCTTATCTTGAAAGGGAATTTTATATTGTCCCACACACATTTTTGCAGCCTTGCATCCTGTTCATGACATTTCTTTAACCCATGCTGCTTTCCCTTAAACTGACAATGTTTGCACATGCCCTTTGTAAGCCTTGTACCAAAAGTTCTATTGCATAAATTATCAATTTACAATGCATGAGATATTGAAAATAAGTATTTTCAATAAAAAATTATGAAAAATAAAATAACAAAGAAGCATCAATAAATGCTAAGCTTAAATGTCATGAATATTTGCCACAATAAATAACATAATAATTTGTTCTTGCAATTGTTTCAGTGGCTTTTTTCTTACGTAATAACATGGTTGAAGACCAGAATGTTCTTATGCTTGTGAATCTTTGGGTGGTCTAAGCCTTGATGTGTTCACCTCAACATCATCTTCATCAGCATCATTTCTTCTTGCCATCTATAAAATATAAATGATAATTTGTTCAATTTACAATTAAAAGAATAACAATTGAAGATAAAATACATTACATTGAGAAAAGTATAAAAAAATAATAAATTTCTGCAGACAACACAGTAGTTATGTAAGTCATAAAATAAGCTGAATCAAATTTCTAGAGCTACGAAATTGTAGTTTTATAAGTTGGGCAAAGAATTCTAAAATTTTATTGCTTAAATTTATCTTTTGTTTTTATTTAACAAGCTTATTAAAGTAATATAAATATATTTTGTAATAATTTGAACAGGGTTTTAATAATTAATGTGCATCCATCAATTTAGAAATGTGCATTTAACAAAAAAAAATTTAAAAAAAATAATCAACTAATCCTAGCAAAACATCCTATTGCAAGGGATGCAAATATTAATTTGAAATGACTTGTTGAAATAATAATTTTATCATTAAAGTCAAATCAGTCACACAAATTTTCTAGTTACACTATCAAGATAGCATCATAACTTAAAAATGTTCAAGTACAAATGTCAATGATACTTTAAAGTCATAAATTTATCAACAATTCATAACAGCCACTGATGAGTCAGTAATCTCATTGAAACTGAACACAAGTCCTATTCCAAGAACAACATAAACTTTTATCCATTATATATCATATGGTCATACAATAGTTTAAACTTATTGTGTAGCTGACTAGAGGAATTTGATCACAAACTTTTCACACACAGCCCAGACAGCAACTGCCAAATGAATAGCACGTCTAGACACCACATCACAGATACATAAAATAAAGTCATGAACGCATCGCAAGCCTCATGGCCCAAGAATGTTCATCACCCAAGACACATCACACACCTTAAAAACACAACACATGGTGCTCAACAATTACAATTCAGAATCCATGCTCGGCAGTCATATTATTAAAGTAAACAAGTCAAGATATTAATAGTTTTGAAGCTTAAACTACATGAAACAAAATACATCTATGGTTAAAAAATTGCTTTTCATTAATATCTACTAAAATAGTTCTATTTTCATCAAAACATGCTTCGTACTCACACAAAGCTGTTGAAATAAAATTAAATACAAATAAGAAAATTTGAAATAAGAACAAAAAAACTTAAAGTAAAATATCTACATTTTTGTAATGGTTACTTTTAAAAAAATGATAACTTGAGGTCTACATACTTAAATTGAGTATCCCTATTAACATGTTCCACTAATTATAACTTTTATAGTTAAACTATTTAATCATGTCAAGCTCCTCAAATGTTTTTGTATCTCTATCTTAAGGATAT